CCCAAAGTGGATTTTTCTCTAGCCTGGAGAATTCAGCAGCTTTTGTCTCTACTTAAAAATTAAGATTCTAAAATGTGTTCATGTTTTCCCAGGTAACTGTAGCTTGGTTAAATTTTACTGCTGTATAATATTCTATGGTATGAAAGTGCTGCAGTTATTATTTTTAGCTCTTCTGTCAACACACATTTGACTCATTTGTAGGTTTTGTTGCTATATTTGACTGGTGTGAACCACAGTTATAAACACTTAATATGGCCAAATGTAGGATCTGCAAATGTTCAATTCAGGGAGGAAATGCTGAACTGTTTTCCAAACTCAGCTACCAAGCTGTTCTTCTCCTAGCCACCAAAGAGATTCTTTACAGTGTTTGTCAGCTTTTTGTCACTGTGACCAAATATCTAAGAAAAACAACTTTGATGAAGAAATATTTACTTTGGCTCAGGGTTTCAGAAGGTTCAGTCCATGGCTGGCTTGTACCCTTGCTGTAGGCCTGAGGTGAGACAGAGCATCATGGCCGAAGGGCACGAGGAAGAAAGCTGCTCAACTCATGGCAGCCAGGAAGCAGAGAGAGAGGGAAAGAGCCAGAGAGAGAGAGAGAGAGAGAGAGAGAGAGAGAGGAACCATGGACCAGATATAATCCCAAAGTCATGGAGCTATGATTCCTTCAGCTACAGCCCACCTCCTAAGACTCCATCACCTCCCAGTAATGCCACTGAATTATGATATCACAAATGGATTAATACTCCAATGAAATCAGAGCCACACAGTCACTTCTCAGAAGCCCCATCTCTAAACATGTGAGACTTTGTTTACTTTTATTAGTCCATGTTTACAGTACATCATGATTGCATTCGCTGTAGGGGAAAGGCACATGTACACGTTCCAATTCTCTCTCCCGACACCCTTTTCAATTTCCAGTATCAGATTCATTTATTTATCTTACAAGACCTTATACAATTACCATGCAAACAGATTGAAAACCAGACTGGGGCTGGGGATTTAGCTCAGTGGTGCCACTGCCTGTCTTGCAAGTGCAAGGTCATGAGTTCGACTCTGGTATCAGAAACAAAACAAAACAAAACCAGACTTATGGGCCAAAGCACATATAAACCATGTAAGACAATTGAACTAAGTCAAGGTATATTTTACAGGCATTGTCTGTGCTGGATTACAGTACTTTTTGTTTATTTGTTTCTCTTTTTTCCTATTACAGTGGTACCTCAGTTTCATGAATTTAATTCGTTCTATGATTATGGTTGTGAACTGAATTGGTCATGAACTGAATCAAATTTCCCCATAAGATTCAGTATCACCTGATTCAACGTTTGTAAACAGATTTGTGGTGTATAAATGCTACATTTAAAGAAATCTGTTCAACTATTGGTGGACATATAGGCTGGTTCCAAGATTTAGCCATTATGAATTGGGCTGCTATAAACATAGCTATGATATGATGTCTTTAACTCTATCTAGATATCTATAATTCTATCTAGATATCTAGAAGCGGAATAGCTGGGTTAAATGGGATTTCTTCTTTTAGTCTTTTTGAGGAATCTCCATACTGATTTCCATAGTGGTTGTATCAGTTTACAGTCCCAACAGCTATGGAGAGAGTGAATATTTGAGATTTGGGGGAGATATTTTAGATCAAAACCACAATATGCACCCATAATGCTTCTCTATGATGCCTGCTATTGTCAGATTTAGCTTAAAAGAATTTATAGAATGATAGACACCTGTTTGTCTTGCTGCTTAATAATGGGGCTTGAAATAGATTTTGTAATGCATGCTTCTGTAGGCCAAGCCCCCAGATTTAGGAGTTGACATCATCTTTCTTTCCTCTTGACTTCCACGCTGACCTGTGACCCTCTAGTAGATGGGAATTCATCTCATTTATCTCTGGGCTTAGTTGTTGTTTGGTCTGGGAAGACCTGTTGATCCTAGTTTATCAGAGACTCCACTAGGATCAACAGAATCTCAGAGCTAGATGAGATTTACAGAATGGATCTGAGAAAACCAAGAGAATGATCTCTCTCTCTGTCTTTTTCAATATATATGAAAAAATGTATATATTAAATGCTTGTTCCTGTGATTGTTTGTTGTGGAGAACATGACTGACATCCTGCATGAGCACAGCCAAGGGCAGGGCAGGGCAGGGGCATGAGAGAGCCGTGGCTGACACATGTTCTTCGAAGAACAGGAGGGAAAGTAACTGCTCTGCTAATGAGACTGTGTGCTGTGGGGAGTTTCTGCCAGGTGGAGAGCATCATGGGAAGGGGTGTGTGTCTGTACACAGTATCTTTAGAGGAAGAGTGTGGATAAAAGAATTTCCTGGAGTTTTGGAAGTCAGAAATCACAGGTTTGGGAAGGTAGAGTTTGGAGAGGAAAGAAAATTCCAAAGCAGTACCGCTACGACTTACATATTTGGATTTTTTTCGTACCAGATATCGAACTCAGGACCTTATGCTTGCCATGTAGGTGTGACACCACTGAGCTCAATTCCCAGCCCTTGGATATGTGTGTGTGTGTGTGTGTGTGTGTGTGTGTGCACTCACACTAAAAGCCTTAAGCATAGCAGTTTGAAAAAATATCAAATGCTCAGATGATTACCAATTATTTTAAATATAGTAAAAGATAAAATATACATGCTACACACATGAAATATAGTCATACTTTGATTCACAAATGCTTCTGTATGTGAACAATTCAGTTTGTGAACAGAAGTGCTTGACAAAATTTTTCTTCTGCTCGCAAACTCTGCCCTGGGTGATGAACACAGCTGTGACCATCTTCCCCACTCTGACACATGGTCCTAGCTTCCTCTATTTGAGAACGTGGTCACAGCCAGACCTGTGCACACTTACTGTGAAACTTTTCTGTGTGCTTTGCAGCACATATAGTCCTATGCAGTGTGGGTCAGTGCAGCATGGCTCCAGAGAAAGTGCAGAGCTAGCATGGTGGTTAAAAAAAGTGCGGGGAAATAAAGAGTTAAGTATCTCTTCATTCTTTACTGTACTATACTTTGCTTCATACTTTTATGGTTAAAAATACATATGGTTCAGAACAGATTAACTGTGTTTGCATTGAATCTTATGGAGCAATCAGATTCAGTTTGCAACCAACTTTGTTCGTGACCAGAATTATGGACTGAATTAAGATCATAAACTGAGGCAGAACTGTACAATGGAAATTTGCCATTTCAAGCACAAATATCATTTTATGCCTTGCAACTCTCTTTCAAACCACTTTTTACATATATAAACATACTAGCCACTGCACACACAAGGTATATAAACTAGCAAAAGACAAGTAGAAATATTCTCCCCCTACTGAATCTTAATGTTACTTTTGGTTTCAAGGGCAATACAGTTATTCTGATGGGTAAAGTCATTTAAGTCTATTCTATGTGTGAAGTGGTATTCTGCCATGGCCTAGCATTTCCACTTAGTAAAAGCCAATTTGCAGAACACTCTGTATTCCTCTTAGAAATTCTCTCTTTCTATTGAGGCCATACTCCTAAGTGAAATAAATAAGACACATGTGTGTGAATACTGAATAGTTTTTCTGGTGTGAAAAATTAAAAGGGTAAATAAGATCCAAACTGTATAACTGATAATGTGAAATAGGAAGAAAAGGGCTAAAGGTGTAGGGGAAGTGGGAAGGGTAGGGGAAAGGAAATAAGGGACAAGAAAAAAATATGAGAAAAGGAAAAAATGGAAACAAAGTATTTGTAAATAGGGGAGGGTGGAGGGGGTGAAGGGAGGGCAGGGGTAAGGGGAAAAAATGAGAACCAAGATCTGTCATGTAAAGGTACAAGGTCCCAATGATGAATGTAACTGCACTGTATACTTAAAATGTACCAATAAACTCAATGAGAAAAAAGAGAAATTCTCTCTCCTCTCTCTCTCTCCCTCTCTCTCTCTCTCTCTCTCTCTCTCTCTCTCTTCCTTCTTTCTTTTCCTTTGTCTCAGATTGCTAACATGTTGGTGCTGGTGAAGGTACTGATTGGATTGTAAATTATTCTGTCTTTTGGAGAGTAATTTGGGAATGCCTATTAAAATATGAAAATGCAAATCTTTAAGCATTGTCATCTTGATAAGGGGAAAAAATGAGAACCAAGATCTGTCATGTAAAGGTACAAGGTCCCAATGATGAATGTAACTGCACTGTATACTTAAAATGTACCAATAAACTCAATGAGAAAAAAGAGAAATTCTCTCTCCTCTCTCTCTCTCCCTCTCTCTCTCTCTCTCTCTCTCTCTCTCTCTGTCTTCTTTCAGAGGCAGTCTTTTCATTTCTGGCCTTAATATGAAATTTGTCTTTTGTAGTCAATAATAAAAAAAATCAAATCTATTCCTTGGATATTATAAATACTGCATCCCATGTAAAACATGTCTCTTTTACCCTTCTCTGGACATTGAGAACCTGTACCCTGTTCAGTTGTTCAGTATCTCGAGGTGTCCCGTGTCAGTGCTTCCAGGAACCCTCTGGAAGCACCGTCTTGGCTACCATGGGATCTCGGGGTCACCTTCTCTGTTTAGAGCTGTGCCTTTTTATTTATAAAATGTCAGGAGCTGAAACACAGAGAATACTAGATCCAATAGGACTTCTGGTGGCTACACATCCTAGAGTACCCTGGCTTCACAGACTCCACTTTGCAATCTCACTGCCCTCCCGTCTGCACAGGCAACCTCTTTTGCCCTCTTTCTGACAGTCTGTCAGCCAGCCACTGATTTTTCTTTGCTGGCAATGCACTGCTACCAGTAATTGCAGAAACCATTAATAAAGTGGGTGGGAAGGGGCGAGAGGGAGAGGGAAGCGAGACACAAAGGGAATAAGCATTGCACATAGCCCACAGGCTTTCCCTCCCACACGAATGATTCACTGTTGTTCCCTGCCTCACGTGGGAAAATGTTGTCCTGCTGGAAACACACCTTGAAGGCAGCTTTGCCTCAGAGATATCACATATGCATATTAATAACACATGCTTTGTAGTGCCTAGAGTTGTTTTTAATGAAGCAAGCTGAAATATACCAGCAACTTTCTCATCTTCTTCTGAGTGCTGTGGATGATCTGTAAGTGCCAGTTGGGGTGGCTTCTGCCTCCTCAAAAGAGATGCAAGAGGCATGCATTGTAATCCTTGATGACACCAAGAGGGAAAGAAGCTGAGTCCATCTTGTAGGAAGACCACACCTTTGGGAAATTTTCAGCAGGGGAAATAACTGCAGACATCAGTGAAAGAGTACACAAAGGTCAGCACAGCCGAGAGAAGGCCCAGGAAAGAAAGGTACGAGAGACAAAATGGGAAAGTATTCTCAGACACCAAGATCCAGTTAAACTCTGAGATGGCTTTTTCCATCTTTCCTATCTTTTTCCCATTTTCCATGAGACTTGACTTGCTTGTTTGAGAACAGATCAACCCTGTTAGCTGGGCCCAGTGCAAAACTGAATTTCTAGCAACAGTGTGATGTATTTCACCCTTGGGATTCCTACTTCATAGCAGTCCATTGCTGTGCTTCAAAAGATCATTTGAAACCTTGGGGCTCAGCAATGAGCAGAACCAGGCAGTTGATATTTGACTTCCTTTTCGTGTGTGTGTGTGTGTGTGTGTGTGTGTGTTTAAATGACAAGTTAGCTGAGTTGGTTTAGTACGGGATGCTAATGAGACCATTACCTTGATCTCATTGTCTTCTGGTTTACTTTGTGCAGAAGAAATGTCCATGCTCCCCCAAACTTATCCATAAAGAGAAACAATGCAGTTAGCTAAGACACAGCTATCATCACCACTAGAAAACCAAAGAATGGGGCCTAAGATATCCCTATGTTTCTTATACTTGTCTCTTCTTTCTGTTCTTGGAGGAGAGGCCCTTGCGACTGGTCACAACTTACTTTAGCAGTCTTCCTATATTCAAGTTCTTAGTATCTTTTCACCCTCACCCTAATAATTTTGCATATAAAGGCCACTTTTATTACTGGCCCTACAATTAAAGGACCTAGCTCTGTTGTGTCTAAAGTCTTTTGTGTTTGATCCATGGTTTCATTTCTGATTTTGACTCCCTTACCTTCCTTACCACTCAAGGTTACAATCAAATTGAATCACCATTAGCCCTCAAACCATCTTCATGTTTTTCACCTCTTGTTCTTCTGGTGTGCCTTTGGGCTAGAACACACTTTCACTAATTCTGTCTTTCAAAATTCTTCCACTCCAAGGCATTGATCAAATGTTACAAACTCATGGCTAATTTTTGTTCTTACTGATAGAAGACCACCTCTCCATTCTCTGAGCGTCTCTCATACAGTCTCTTCCCTGAAAGGTGGGGGAATGTCCTGAGAAGTACATGGTTGAGAAATTTCCTCATTGTTTGAACATTATAGAATGCACTTTTACCAACCTAGGTGGTGTAGGGTCAATCACTCAACATGGCCTCTTGATGCAGTCAAGAGACACAGCAAACATAAGACATGTGAGGCTGCTGCCAGCTATCACGTTTTTCCTTTGTAGTACAGATTATTGATCCCAAGGCCTCTGTACTGAGCTACCTCCTTGGCTTTTTTTAAAAAAAATAATTTAGTTTGAGAAAAGATCTTTCTAAGTCACTAAGTTGTCCAGGCTGGGCTTGATCCTGTTGTAGTTCCTCTGCTTTGGATTCTTGGGGTACTGGGATTACAGGTATGTACCACCATGCCTAGCAGCATAATGTTTTGTAGTCACCTTAAAAAATAAGCTCATTGAGCTCTATGTAATGATAAGAATAGAGTATAATAAATCCAAAGTAACTTCACTGTACCTTACCACCATCCGGTATTATGTTCTACACATAATTATCTGTACTATACAGCGTATGACTGGCAGCATAGGAAGCTTGTTTATACCAGCACCACCACCAACACATGGGTGATATGCTATGGAATGGATCTAGAATGTTCCCCAAGGCCCATGTGCTAAAGGCTTGGTCCCCAGCCTCTGGTACCAGTAGGAGGTGGCAGAAACTATGAGAGTTGGTGGCCTAGGGCCAGTCTTCCGATCGCTGTGGGGTGCATCCTTGAAATGGAATAGGGTACCCCAGCACCTTCCTCTTCTTCTTTATTGCATCTTTGCCACAAGGAGGGCAGCTTTGTTACTCCACCTGTGCACCATGATGTCCTGTCTCATCATAGGTCTTGAAAAAATGGAGTGACCGATCAGGCCTGAAACCTTGAAAACTGTGAGCCAAAATAAACCTTTCTTCTTTGTGACTTGTAACTGCAAGCATTTGTTATAGTCAGAGAAAGTTAGCTGATGTAAGATATGGTGCTACAGTGTATTGACAGTCCAATAGGAATAAGCAATAGGACAAGCAATAGGAATATTCCAGCTCTGTTATAATCTTGTGGGACCACTATTATATATGTAGTCCATTACTGGCCAAAATATTTTTATGAAGTATAAAAATGTCCTTAGTTTTTACCTCTTTTAGGGCATCAGTGGTATTTTCATAACATAATCATTTATTCCATCAACAAATATTCACTGAGTGCCTAAAAACACTAAACATCATGGTACTCAGTTCACTGGTATGTAGGAAGGTGACCAAGAATGCATGTAACTTCCCTATATAGTTAAGGCATGCTAGCTTCTCTAACAAAGCCCCAACCTTCAGGTGATTTCATACAGTAATCCAATGTGCTGTTACTAGTTGTCAGGAGGCTTTTCTCTAGGTGTTTATCCCCAAATTTATCTATTTTATTTTTTCTATTTATCTATTACCTCTTTCTGCATAACTCCCAAATGTACTGGTTTATTATTTCATAATTTTCATAGGTCAGGGGAGAGGTGCAGCTGGGTCTTCTGGCTCTATGGTTGCTCATGGGGTAGCAGCCCATGTTGGCTGGGGCTGGACGACCGGAAGGCTGGACTGGCTGGGATCCACTTCCAAGATGGCGCTCCAGCACTTCATCATCCGGGCTTCTCCGCTGAGTGTTCTCACAGAATACCCGCTATCGGGAAACCTGAGAAGGCAGGATGCAGCCTGTGTGACCTGCCCCCAAGAGTCACACTTTATAGATATTTCTGTATTCTGTACATTAGAGATAGGTCCAGCCCATACGCAGAGTGGGAATAAAGTTATATTGTCCAAAATGAAGAGTATCAGAGAACTTGCATATGTCCTTTAAAACCATCACAATATGAGACTTTCCACAGCTCCTTCTCAGATCTGGATTCTTAAACTTAGAGCACATGGAAAATGAAACTGAAATTGCACCATCTTCTCAAGAACAATATTTGAATATGATCCACACTGCGCCTGTTCCCCCAGATATGAATGTCACATGGCGAGCTGATTCAAGAGGTGCTGGAAAATATAGTCTCTGGCAACACCTTGTAGCTGTTGAGAGTCTTCAAGGAAGGGACCATGCTGTTCTTCCCTTTATCCTTTATTCTACAAATAGCACAGGTCTGTGCAGAATAAGTGTTCTTTAAATATTTCATGAATGACTGAGTACATGAATGGTGAGATGGTAGTGATGTTCTTTTATATTTTTCAAAAGACAAACCTAGCCTTGCTCCAGATTATACACAAACCCTGACAGTTAAATTTATTTAGCATAGGAGTCTATGTTCAGAATTACCTGGTTCTCTTGTTATTTCTTATGAATTATTTATCTTTCCCCCTCTGAACTTCTTTTCAAATGGCACATTGCAAAGGACTAGTTCTTCACTAAGGAATAGTATATAAGGGCAAGAATGTTCAAAGCTCTCTTCATCACTATATAAAAAAACTCAAGATGCTGCCAAGTACTAAAACGATGGGATCACAGGGTAGCAGAGATAAGAAATAAATTGTCATAGCAACCAGAAGACCTCAGTTGGAATGACTGTACTCCAACTTGGAAGGTGGTATTATGAGCTTAAATACATACAAAGAAATGGCTAATTTTATGAAGATGCTGTTTAAATACAAAAGCATCTTTAAAAACTTTTCTAAATGAATATAATTTGAAAACAATATTCTGTGGGAAGACGCCAAATGGGAACATTAGTGAAGCTTCACCATATGTTTAATAACAACAATAATTTATGTTCTCTGTTAAACACCATGTTTTTTTATTTTAGGAAAAATAAGTTATTTTATACTTGGGGATTATAATGATGACACATACTTAGTGTAAAAAATGGGAAAATGCAGGAAATATGAGAAAGAATTAAAAATTATCCTTGTATCCAGAATAAAGCAATTGAAAATATCTTCAGCACGCGCACACACACACACACACACACAGCCCCTGATTTAAGATTTTTCCACTTTACAATGCTGTGAAATGAAATGCATGCAGTAGAAAGTGTGCTCCAGTTTTTGCATTCTGACCTTTTCCTGGGCTGGGGATGAGCTGGAGGATCTCTCATGATGCTGGGTAGTGGCAGTGAGCCCCATCAGTGATGAGATCACAAAGAGAATCAAGCGACACTCCACAGTGCTCTGTGTGACTGAGCGCTGATGTTTGGGAGGCCAGGTGTGTCCAGTGCAGTGCCTAGTTATGATGGGCTTTAGGATAGGTTTAATGGGATGTAATTTCATGGTAAATTGGGGAACATGGGTATTTTAGTCATATGGATGTAAATAACCCGAGATTGCATAAATACATAATATATGTAATGTATATAAAATATATCGGTTTCAATTAGTATATTGGCTTCCAATTTACACTATCTCATGGACTCTTCTCCATATATTTAATATTCTTAAAAGCATTAGTTTTAGTTGCTGCATGATGTTCTATAGTTTAGCTATAACATTTAGATATTTATATAATGTTTGACATCTTGATTGTTTTCATAATTTTGGTATTATAAGTACTTCTTTAACCAACCCGGTATGAAGAGTATTTATTACATAATTGGGGCTCAATGAGTATTTGATCAATAAATTAAAGATACAAAGATTTCTCTGCATCTCTGATTATTGCTATTTTGTTTGTAAAATATGAATTAATTCCATATTATCTGGAAGATTTACTTACCTTCATTTGCCTTTCAACTTGCTCCATTTTCCTTCTGCCATATAGGGTATAGATGGTTTTAAAGATAGTTTTATTGACTTGTATAGATTGAAAATGTACCACATAATTTGGGGGTTTTTGTTTTGTTTTGTTTTGAGATAGGATCTCAGCATGTAGCCCAGCCTGGCCTTGGACTCATTATCTTTGTGTTTCGGCCTTTTGACTGCTGGTGAAAAGAAGGGTTAGGGGTGGTGCCCAGCTGCCAAGATGATGTTACACAAACATACTGATGAGCAAATTAGTACATCCATCACCACATTTCCCTTTTCTTTTCTTCCTTCTTTCTCTTTCCTGGTGAGAGTACCTACAATCTGCTCTCTTAGCAATTTTCAAGTGCTTAGTACAACGTTACTAACTTTAGGCCTTACACCGTAATCCAACCTCTAGACTTATTCATCCTACATGATTGCAACTTCTCAGCCTTTGACCTACATCTCTACATCTCCACATCTGACCTGCATCTCCACAGCCTTTGGTACTCACTAGTCTGTTTCTGTGATATGAGTTCAAAAATATAGTTACCTGGGAGAGTTATTAAGTTTCTTCTGAGTGTTTGGAATGAATTTGACTTTTTAGCACCTATATTGTAGACTATTTAAGTAATGGGGGAAAAAGTAGTTTGCAAAACCTTTTCGGGGAGGTGGAAACACCCCTTGTCGGCTTGCTGTTTTAGTTTGGATCTAGAGTGCTTCTGGAATGCTTGCACGTGAGAAAGCTTGGCGACTGCCTGCAGTGTTACTGGGAAGGAGTGGTGCCTAGGAGAGGTGGGGCTCAGTGGGAGGAAAGTAGTTCACTGGGGCTGTGCCCTTGAAAGGGATTGTAGGAGCCCAGTCCCTTCTCTCTCTGCCTTCTAGCTGCCTTGAGGGGAATGGGCTTCCTGCTTGTGTACTTCATGATGTTTTGCGTCACTGCTGGATCAAGGGCACTGGGGTCGTGTGAACTTGAATTGAAACCTCTGAAACCGTGAGCCAAAGTAAACCTTTCTTCCTCTCAGGTGATCATCTCAGGTATTTTTTCATAGAAACTCAGACTGCCTTTGGTAAATCAGTGGTGTCTGCTATGTCCTTTTTCACTGTCCCAGACTAAAGCATTCCATCTGTAAGGGGCTTGATATTTCACAACAGCTTCTTATGCCCATCAAATCAGGTTACACCAAACAATAACTTCAAGTTTAGGGCCAATCTTGTTTTTAATCTTTTTATAGAAAAGGAGAGAAGACTCAGTTTGTAATATTGAAGTTCAGTCCAAGGATCTCAAGCTGATCTGGCCTGTTTTTCTCCAGAATTTAAACAAAAGGCCCTGAGACCATCTGACACTGGCTCCTATCTCTCAAGGTAGTCTTAAAAAAAAAAAAGTAAGTAGTATGGAAGACTGATTTTTACTGGTATGTGGCCAATTCTTTATTATTAGGAAGTTCAAGGGTCTTATTATTTTTCATTGAGTTTATCGGTACATTTTAGGTATACAGCACAGTTATTGGGATCTTGTACCTATACATGACAGGTCTTGGTTCTCATTTTTTCCCCGTGTCCCTGCCCTCCCTTCACCCCGACAAGTCTTATTATTTTTTAAACACAGCAAGGTTCTTATTTTGTCAGTAGGAGCTGTTACTTTCATCCAAAGAGCACTTTGGGGAAGGGCTGTGACATCTGCTATCTTTTCCTTTGCTTTCAGAATGAGAGGGAGGAAGAGGGACATAGCACATAGATCTAAAAAGAGTTCTTATAATGCTTTTGTCTTAATAGAAAGTACAGCAAATTTGACCAAACTGCCAAGGAGGCAGGTTAGTGCAACTAGGTTTCTAATGTTTGAAAGCAGACCCTTCACTTAGCAGCCTCTTGTGAACCTTGGGAGTGTCCCGTGAAGACTCAGTGGGTCACTTCAGGGATTTATTCTCAGTCTCCTAACACCCCTTTGAATCTTCACAGTAAGGTTAAAGGATGTGAAGTGAATATGTAGAAACCTCACTACTGGCTGCATATCACATACATCTGGGGAGATTTAAAAACAATACTGATGTTTGGGCCCCACCTTTGACAGTGAAAGACAGTATTTCTTTAGGTGGGAATAGGTAACGCGTGCGTATTACAGGGCAACTATCTTAGCCACTTTTCTCTCATTGCTGCGAAGAAATACCCAACACGCAAAGTTAAAGGTGGAAGGAGTTTATTTAGCTCACAGTTTGGAGAGGTTTCAGTCCATAATCAACTGGCTCCAAGGCAGGGTGGTCATGGTACTCGAGGGGCATTTCAGAGGAGAAACAGTTCATGGCACCCACAGGAAGCAAAAACAACAAGGGAACTTTTAACAGTGTCTTTCTGTCCTTTATCTTATTCAGACTACTTAGAGTGGGTAGCGTTCAAGCTCTTAATCTTAGTGACCTCAGGCCTAGCCTCACTATGAATCAGTCACACACTCTAGACTCAACCACTTCCAAAATAGACTACAAGAGGCCCGGGGGCAGGGGTGGGGCATCTAGACACAAACTGTAACAGCATTTTTTATATCAAGGGGAAGATGTGGTTCTCCCTCCTAAAGATGCATAGGAACCTTTAAGGCAGTAACCCAGTTCCCAAACTTCCACCCTCCTTTCTCAGGTTCTCCATAATTCCATTTGGCTATGCCTCTGGAGTTGCCATTAACTGTTATCAGTTGTAAAAAACGTAAGATAGAATTATAATAAAATTACAATATAACAATAATTTATATTGTAAGTAAAATTATAATAATGAATTTACCAAGGACCGAAAAGTTCTGAAGTCAAAGCTAACAATAACGAAGCATTGAAGATAGAAATAATGACAAGCTGGATCCCTTGAACAACCTTTGAAACGAACCGTGGAGAATCCGTGAGCCCAGAGCCATAGTTAATGTGTTTTAAGCACTTGAAAGCCTCATCTTAACAGCCAGACTAGCGTTCCTACCTGCAGGGGCAGGGCAAGAAGCTCTGTTGTGGAGGACACCACCAGGGGGCGCTGGCAGTCTTACCATGCTTCATGCCTGCCTCTGTGGTTTAGCCCAGACTGTGGCCATTGAAAGCTGTTTTTGGAAGGTGAAGTCTGCATGCAAGTGAAGACAGAAGCCATCCTATCCCACTGCATCACGCAGCTTTGCACTCTTTTGCCTTACTTGATGGAAACACCAATCGCTACTTTCAATCAGTATCATTTCTCCTGCCTCTAAGGATGTTGCGTATTTATTCATGAGACTGATGTGTAGATCTTGTGCATGTTGGATGATTTTCCTAGTTTAGAGGTCATACAGAATCTAATAAATGACTGCAATGATTTGGGCATTTAACCTCTACTAGTGTGGCAAGGGACAGCTGAAAGTACAAGGATAAAAAGCCAACTCATGGCTAAATTGCATCACTTTAGTGTCCTCACCACTTTGAGGCACCAAATTGCTAGTAAAGCAATTGTACAGGAAATCATACAATGAAAGGAAAAAAAAAATCACTGTATCTTTCACACTTTTCCAATAATGAAGCCCTTGCAAATCTAGCCCCATCTCCCATTTGTAATACCGTACAAATTTTTATATTTTGATTTTTATTATATACAATTAAGGTGTTCAGCATGATGTTTTGGTATACACATGCACAGTAAAATGATTACCATAGTCAAACAAATTAACATATACTTAAATGGAAATTTTATACATGCACATGTGCAACACACACATATAGTGTTAAAAAATCAAGGTGTTTTATGTAGACAGCATTTACTTTTGAGGCTGGGTGTGTAGCTTAGAGGTAGAGCATATGCTTAGCATATGTAAGGCAAGGATTTGGGTTCAATCCCTGTAAGAAAGACCGACAGACAGAAGCAAATAAGCAAGCAAGTAAGCAAGAAAGTACATCACCGAATGGTCTATTTTCAAATGTACTTTTGTCACCTGCCAAGTAGTGGAGCTGCAGAGCCACAGACCAGGTGGACTGTATTGCTCTTCCTGTGTCCTGAGTACCTGTGGTTTAGGCCAGGCCTTCCTTCTGTCATTTTCCCCTACTCTGCAGTTGATCCTTAGGCTTTTGCTTTGCAGGTAATTTTCTTTCATTTATAAATGTGATGAGAATTCCTTCCCAGTTTGCCCCTGTGTTGTCAGATCTGTGTCGGGGCAGGCACGCTCCGGGGCACAGCCCTGAAAGAGTACGTCTCGTAAGGCTTGTGCATGAAATGTAGAGAAGAAATGAGTAGCCGGTGAAAACAATGGTGCAGAAAATGTGTTTCTTAGAGAAGGACTGTTAACTTTAACAGGTTCAGTTTTAAAATGCTGCGCAGTACTCACCACTGAAAAGTTAAAATATAGAATTGATGGGGAAATGAAGGTGACAGGACTTTTGGCCTGAAACTCCTGAATTTCAAGAAAT